CACCCTTCTCAACAATAAGCACCCTTCTCAACAATAACACCCTTCTCAACAATGAACAAAGTTCCAGTGTTATTTTGTTGATATATTGTAAATGTTTCTAATTGTGTTTCAGAAATCTTAAAAGTACAGCTTGGGACAACAACTTCTGGTTAGAACTGGATTATTTGGTGGTTGCCATGGCAGCCAAAGCATGCTCAGCTCATTTCACATGTATTCTGTACACTGAGATATGGTGTGACCAGCAAAGGTTTGTAGATCGATTCAGTCAAATGTTCTTATATACCTCACAACAAATTTTAAATCTATTTCATTAATAATTAAGGATCTACAGAATAATATTTTGTATAATGATTTGTGTATTTTGTTTAAGTTTTTTTTTTAAATAATAAACATGAGAATTTATTTACCCACTGTGCAGTGTCTGTCTCTTATACACATCTAGATGTGTATAAGAGACAGCTTATACATAAACTATATCACTATGTCCTCATTTTCTTTAGAAATGGTAGAAATGGAAATGATGATATGATGAGTGACCGAACGTCAGCATTTGAGACTCTGTCTTGTCTGAGTGGCGACCATGGCATCAATGTCCGGCAGCTTCTCCTTGATTCATATCGCAATATCGGCGAACCAGATGGTATCTATGGTTACGGAGCCGGTCGCCTAACCGACACAAGTGCCAGGTGAGATGTAGTTTTGAAATATCAACTACAGTACTTTAGACAATTATGATTTTGCAGAAAAAACAAATGGTTTAATATTTTGTATAAAATTCATAAATGTGTGTGCGAACATGTGCATAAGAGTGCTTTATAAGTTAATATAAAGTCTAACCTACAGTAATTACTCGAACTGGTTCCACCTCCTCATCTGCATTTACCCACGATTATTTGACTTATGACAATTCCAATTCCTCCAATTCAATTCAATTCAATTTATTTCACTTGCTTTGTCTAAACCTATTGTACATTATAGCAAATGGCAACACCTATCGTAATCCACAGCTTGTAAGTTATAGGCACGCTTGAGAACTTAACTACACTTATAAAAGCAAAAGATTCAACAGACGACGACTTTGAGTTTTTGAAAACATACTAGTTATTCAACATGAGTGTTCTTAAGTGTGTTTTGAATGTGATTAAACTAATTTTTTTATTTTGGAGGGTGGAGGGTATCATTCCATATGATAGCACCACAGGCGAAAATGGATTTTGCATGTGAAGTTGTGCGAGAACAAGTGTGTGGTGAAATTGAGACGATTGTCTTGTGGACTTTTTGTAGAATGAATCAGCTCCAAACACATGCATTTTTTTATATTCTTTTTATTTATCACAGACGTATGCAACACATTTGAAAATTATTTTTATTGTAATTTCATCGTAGGTGGTAAGAATGTTTCTGGATAAATTAAATTTAAGTAAGTTAAACTACATTTTAGGTGTGTGAATTGCAGTGGTGGTTGTACTAACTTTCAGAATGAAAATTTTTTTTTTCTACACAGTAAATTATCAGTTTATGCGTAGACTGTAGTTTTAGATTTTTCTTCTTTTTTAAAATAATGAGATAATGTATTTTCGTCACTACCAAATAAAATGCTGCCAAACAAAATGTAAATTATATACAGTAAAAAACTATAAGTTTCAGTCTTTTTATTTCAGTATGTATATGTATTGTGGCAGAGCCAAGCCAAAGGAGGGATAAGTCAAAATTTTCAAAATTGAGTTTTGTGCATATGAAACTAGACATTATTATCTTTAAAATGAAAAAAAAAATCACTTTGATATGGTAGTTTATGGCAAAGTTATAGGCAATTAAAGTTAGGATACTCGGTAAGTGTATTTTGAGAAAACTGGCTTTGAAAATCACATTTTATGTCTGTACGCTAGGACAAACTTCCGTAAATACCATTTGTAGAGCATTTATCGATTATAAATCAGAGAAAGGTAAAAATGTAGGATAAAAGTTAAATGTTCGATATGTATGTTTTAGAGATTAAAAAAATATCGGAAAAAATGACTTGATTTGACGTTTGTGCATTTATTGGAAAACTGCCTGTGCAAATTATCCCTCCTTTGGCTTGGCTCTGCCACCAATAGATAATTATGTTTTATTAACAAAAGAAACAGGCATCCAAGTGTTTGCTTCTGCAGGAGTTGTGTTGCGTGTGGTGAAAATGTGATATGTTTATTATGTCAATAATTTTTAAAAATGTATTGATTGAAATATATGATTTGCTGTGGCAATACATATTTTGTTAAAATCTTTGTTGATATGTTTACTATTGTAGAATACACACATATGAACATGAGGGTAGATGGATGAAGGCATTGTCTGCATATGATTCCCACCTACAGCAAGAGGCAACAGGCTCTGTATCTGGTCTTCTACAGGTGAATCATTTTATTGTAGTATTGTACCTAAGAGTATTAAAATTAAAAGGGGGCAGGGGCAGCTGATGACGGGAGTGCTATGGAAAATTGGGATGTGGCCACTAGCTGTTGAAAGGAAGTGATTCTTTACTACTTGATCATATTGTTTTTTGGCTCCGCATGTTTTGGGCCTTCTGGCGAGCATGAGTTTAAACTGTTTCTGGGGTTTGTAAACACAGAGACAATGACAGGATCTGTCTCTTATACACATCTAGATGTGTATAAGAGACAGTTATAAACCTGAACCACCGCACAGTTACCGGTACCCGTTGGAAAATACGTAGAATTTTAAGAAATCGAATCAATTATAAAATTCGCAGGGGAAGTTGCAGAGCATCAGTATGAAGCTGCTTGGAGGCTGGGCCAATGGGATATGCAATTTGATAATTTCTGGTGAGTAGTAAAGTGTAAATTATGCTAGTTTTAAAGGTTATTTGGTGGGATGGAATGAGGTATGGTTCGATAAGTGTGCTCTGCTCTTACAGTATTGTTGTCTACTTTGAACTGCCTTTGCAGGCCTGGTGTACAGTATATTCTGTATGTCTCTCTCAGTGGTCTGTGGTTTGTATTCCATTGGAGCTTTCAGGATTGTCAGTCGAACTAAACTGATCAACCAGAACAAGATCAGGAATCTGTGAATGTCCTGCAAACACACGCATTCTCCCACATTCCTGCACAAATGCATTTGTATGTTTTCGTTTAGTTCTTTGTTTATTTTTGCGTTCTGGTTGGTTCTGGTTACTTAGGGTCAAAGTACAATTGTCAATGGTAAGTTGATGTATAAATTATAACAAACTGTATGAATTTATTCAGAAAATCTCAAAGCACATAAAAATCTAAGAACAGGATGATTTTTACATAAATACACAATCCATTGTATTATTACTGTTTTAAAGTTTGGAGTCATCTTCTGGATTCCACGAAAGTGTTTACAAATCTTTAACCGCCATGAAGAACAAAGATGAAAACACTTTCAAACTGTGGATCAACAAGGCTGAAGGTCAGGTCCTACATGACCTCTGTCATGTGAGTCTGGAGAGCAATCAGAATGTTTATCCACTGCTGTGTGAATTACAGATGTTAAATGAGGTGCAGAACAGCATGCATTATATCAAGTAAGTTGCTTTCAATTTAATACTACATGTAAACTGATGTCAACTAAGAAATGTGTTTAAATAACCACTGTCCTTTGCACCTATTATATTATGTTTAGATGGGAGATCAGAGATAATGATCATGTTCTTCTTACAGAATTCAAACCAACTTCATATTGAATGTTTCAGCGCTGGCTTTTTGGAGTTTCTGCAAATCTTCAAATATGCTTTAAAGATGTGCTTCTGCCATGAAGCCTAGCAATTCAATTCTATATTCTTAATTGCCTAATTTGTATATTTATAATTATTCAACTTAAATTTTAAAATTTTAATGATAACTGACAGTTAAATAATAACTTTCCTGTATTCATATTTTTTTACAGACCCTTTAAATTTGGTGGTAATCAATTTGAGGATTTTGTAGTAAAATGTGAGCAAAAATCAGCAAAAACTTTTTTTTATTCGTTTCTGGTTAGAAGTTAATTTAGGTAAAGCCTTTAAATGAGCTATTCATAATTTTTTCCTGATTTTTATACAATTGATAAAAATACAATTGTGTTTTTCACAGAAACAATAGATCAGATAGTGTCAGCGAATCATGGAAAGACATAAGTACTGTACAAGACCTTGATTTTGAGTTTGTTGAGCCTGTTCTGGCCATCAGGTCATCCATCTTAGATATAGCGTACACTTTGAACCCCGGTTTAATGATACTACAGGATGTGATGTCACAACACATGTTAAGTCAATCTGAGCTTGCCAGAAAAGCTGGTAGATACCATGTAAGATGAATACAGTACACATATTTAAAATACAGTAGAACCCCCTATTAAGGGATACATTCAGGACAAAAAAAGTGTCCCCTCAATAGAGGTGTCCCCTGAATAGGCGTTGGCCTTAGTGTTAAAAGATATACTTTCACTTGTTTTGTGGGTGAAAAGAAAAGTGTCCCTTTGATAGGGGTGTCCCAAATGAGGGGTTCTACTGCATCCAAACCTGCAATTTGAAGCCAAGTAAAGTTATTTGATCAAATAAATATGTTTTGAATTTGTACAGACAACAGCCATTTATAAACCATGAAAGACAAATGAATGAATTATCAAATGTCATAATATTGTAAAAGTTTTGTAAATTTAGAATTGGCTAAAAGAACTGATATAAAATTTAGTTTTTATGAATATAATATTTATATTTTGTTGTTGAAACAAGATTGCAGAGAGAGCAGTAGCTCAACTTTCAAAGCTGAATGAGTCCCGTAACCATGACGATTGTAGGAAGTGGGTTTGGCAACTTGAGAAAGCTAATGTGTTTTGGGGACGGGGAGAACAAGACACTGCCAAACATCTGCTGAAAATCTGCATTGGTCAACTTGCAAAGGTAATGGTAAACATTGAAAAATTGCTCATGAAAACACTGAATAAATTGACTAATTACCTTTGTTCCGTATTTATAACAGCCCTCAAAAATCATCTTCATTTCTTTATTACTGCTTGCTGATTTATGTATTTTCACCAGTGGTGGATGCAAGAATTTTAAATAGAGGGGCTCCGGGGGCACTTTCACAGATGGAGGGTCTAGACAATGTCAACCCCTCAAGTAAGAAAATTTATGAAAATACACCTCTAGATGGCTGGAAATAGCACTCTTAGTCTCAAATTTAAATAAAAGTTTCTTTTTTTCTCCATTTTTTTTAAATAACTTTTAAAAGTTAAGGAGGCCATGGGAAGACTCCCTCCCACTCCCACCCTTGAATCCGCCTCTGCTCACCTAAGGTAAAGGTAAGTGCTTAAAGACAGACACTCATTGGTCTTCAAAAAGTCTGATCCTGGTTTTTGAAAGAGAATTTTAACATTAAAAACAATATTTAATAATAAATAAGCTCACTTAAAATTAGGTTTTTTATTTTGATTTTACAGACATCAAAGAAAAATGAAGTATTTAAATCAATCTACCCACAAGCTCTTGGTATATATGGCCAGTGGTTAGCAGAGACCCACACAGAAAGTCCAAACACTATTATGGATGACTATTTGGAGAAGGTACAGTATGGTTATTGTCGCTTCATGTAACATTAGTTTTGTTTTATTTCTGAATATCATGATGATCGGTCAACACTTGCTTCAGAAAGCTTCCAATGTTAATGTTAGTGGGTGGCCATTGGTATACAACATGGTCAATATATACACCAGAGGTGTGCATAACAAAGGGTTGAATTTTTGATTTAATACCAAGGGCTGCACCCAAACTTTGAGGATTCAAGTGTGCTTGCAAAAACCTTCATGAACTGCTTTTATACCACTTTATACTTAGTTTTAATATTACTTTTTACGGATGACCGGTGTTGGGCCATAAAAACAAGGGGTTTTCTAGCCAACGAGGGTAGGTGAGCCGCAAACCTAGGGTTGTCGCAGGCCTTAACAAGTTTGCCATTCAGGCTGCACATTGCTCATCTGTGCTGTATACTAATTTTTAAAAACTGGCTATAAATTTTTAAAATTTTTTTCCCATTTTTTAGGGAATTGAATACACCAGTCAAAAAAGCTACTAAAACTGTTGCTTAGCTGTACAGGCACTTAGCTTTGATGTCGCTATTTGCTAGGTGCTTGGTAACAAGCAGTGTTGCGTGGAACCGTGGGCATATTGACATAGTACTTTATGCTTGTACACTTGTTTTGAATTATAATAATTTTTTATGCGCTTGCAGGCTGTGATAATTTACGATTCAACGAACAACACAAGCTCACCTGCTATGCAAGCCTACCTTTCTCTCGCACGGTTTGCAGACACCCATTACCAAAATATTTGTAACTACATGAAATCTAAGGTGTTTGAGAGTAAACAAGCCTTACTGACCAAGTGTCGTGCAGACCTACAGAGTCTCAAAGCCATGGGTGACAATCATAAAAGCAAGTAAGTATAACTCACTTTATTTAGGGAATGCTCTTACTTGAATTTATATTGTTCAGTGTCATATCATAGAGTCTTCAAATGAGAAAATGAAATGGTTGGCATGAATGTAAAGTGGGGGACTTGGTAATTAAGTGAGGGGGTGGGGGGTGGCCAGCTTACAAAATAAGGTTATTTGAGGTGATTTTACTTGTGTAATTTTTTTGCTTCAAACATTTTCCAGTGTGGGGGTGCTTTTTTGGGGATACATGCCTCCTTCCAATGCATTCCCATAGATATGCAACTGTATTGTTCACTCTATGGTAATGCTTTGTTTGGTTATTAATATTAATTGTTTTCTTCATATTTGGAAATGCTGTTGTTTGGTATAAAATTTTCACACCAACAAATTTGAAATTTAACTAATTTCATTTTTTTTAGAAATGGTATTCTTTCAATCAATGTTTGATTCAGTTCATTAGTTATTGTTGTTTACAAGATAACATTGTAGTACATAAAACATTTTGTTGCTCTTTACAATTCACATTTGTTGCTAATTTCAAAGATATCAGCGAACTCTGGAGAAACAAAAGGAGATTGATGAAACAGAGTTGGAAGCAATGGCAGATGATAAAGCCAACTACCTTCATAAAGCAGTTAATTGGTATTTGAAGTGTCTGACATGCGGTGATCAGAATGATATCAGAATGTTCCGTGTTTGTTCGCTTTGGTTTGATAACGCAAGTGATGCGGACGTTAATAACGCAATTGAAGTAAGAAGGGTTTCTCTCCTCTTATATTTAAATACATAAACCTAGTCACACACAGTAGCGACACCAGCAGGCCTGGACTATTCTGTTGTCTGACGCACGACTAGGTCATCGGATCAAAAAAATTATAATTTGCTTATCCAAATAACGTTATTTTGACTGCCAATCTCTAATATTATGGTCTAAAAGCACATTTTGGACTATGCTAAACCATAAAAACTCTCCCCGTGAACCTTACAAGAGTGTTTTTATTCTGGGTCGTCGACAGAGACTTTATCAGCCATTCGGCTCAAACCCCTCTGTCAGACATGTCGGACCCCATTTCATGCACCACCACTGGTCACACACACTATTCTTTTATCTGTCAAATTTTTTTAATTTTTTAAATTTTATTTATTTAGGCACAAAACACGTGCACCAAGGATTGTCAATAGCGAATTTATCACTGTCCTACTTGTAGGTGAAAATCCCTTGTCAAGACAAACATACACATATGATGTGTTACACAAACTAAATCTCAATGTAAGGTTTAGAGATTGGAGTTGTTTTGGATAGACTATTCCTTATTTAAAAAAAAAAATCCACTAAGTCAAACATTGCATGTTTTTGGTCCTTATCCAAATATCCTAATAACATTACCTTTGATTTATGTAATTTTGAATCTCTTCTAGTGTGCTCTTGGGAAACTTGAGAGCCGCAAGTTCTTGCCCCTCATGCCGCAGCTAGCTGCCCGTATGACCACAAAAGAACATGGTAGAGTAAATTTCCAGAAAGTTCTGCAAGATGTCATAAAAAAGACTGTAGTGGATCACCCACACCACACATTGCCCATCATCCTGGCTTTGGCAAATGCAAATAAAGACACACAACTGACCAATAGGAAGTCTGCAGGAGGAAGCAGAGGGGATAAAGGTCAAACAGTTGAGGTTCGGGCTTTTTTCATTGGTATTTATAATTTAAAAGAATATTAATGATATAAGTAAGACAAACTATATATTATTTCTAATAAGTAATACAATTTTTTTATAATTATTAAAACCAAGAAAATTATTTAAAAAAACAGGAATAAATTAGCATGATATATTTATATTACACTTGTACATGTTTGTACTTCTCAGGAGAGAATGGCAGCTGCACAAAATCTTCTGACCTATTTGGAAACATCGTCAACTTGCTCAGATGTTATCAGATCACAGAATAGGCTTTCATTGGCATATATTAATCTTGCCTACCTTGATACTTCATTGCATAGACGAGAAACAAGTAAGTACGACCATGTAATAACAAATAATTTGTATAAAGTTTATCAGCTACAGTTATGTTAAACCAGAAGTTAAATGGAATCGAAATATAATATGTTTTTATTGTATATTAATGTAACTGAGAGTTAATAGTTTAAAGTATAGAGTTTCACAATATAAATGGCTTGCATCTTCTCTTGGAACCCTGTGATAGTCACAATATTTCTAACAAACTTTTGATTTTTTTGTTTGTGCATGGCAGCTTTCTGTATTATAATGTTAGATAAGAATGACATCTTTTAAAAAAATTTAAAAAAATCAATATTAGCAAAGTAAAAATTGAATATGTACAGTACAGTGGTATTTGTTTAGTAGTACTGGTATGATAATAGTAAAAATATTTTAAACTTTTATCTCACAGAACCAATCAAAATTCCATCAAACCAGTCAATAATGCAAATTAAGGATCTTGAGCATGTTGCCGTGCCGACATTAGAACTTCCAGTGGATCCAACTTGTCGCTATGACAACATTGTGTATGTCAAAGATTTTGAGCCAACGTTCAAGCTTGCTGGTGGTGTGAACCTTCCCAAAATCCTCACTTGCATTGGGTCAAATGGGCGTCGTTACACACAACTTGTAAAGGTATGTTACAAATTACATTATAACCTTTTATCTAAAGCTCTTTACAGACTATCAAATTTTATTTGACAAAAAAAATAAGGTATGCCCAAATATGGTTGTGATGACATCACAACATGACCATTTATAGGCAGATCTTGAATATATATAGGCATACTACAGTTTTTGTCGAAGAAAGTTTGTTAATTTGGACAGAGCTTTAATAGGAGACATTTTAACAGTGTCAGAGTTTTTTTTTTTTTTTTTATGCTCAGGAAAACCAGAAATTTAAGCTTGGTTTCCTAGAAAATCGCTACAAACTATCACCGACAGCTTTCGGTGATGCTGATTGGTTGGTTGTATCGGTTCCTTCCCGATTGTGTGGGGACTGCTACGCTAGAGCAATGGTTGCAGTAAAAAAAAAAAAAACTGTGGCGAGAATGTAGTGTAAACCAGGCTTTATCAAATGACTTAAGTATTTTGACAAGAAACATTACACAGGTTGTTTGTACTTTAAGGATAACCTTTCAATGTCCAAACCCCCCCCCCCAACTGGTCTCAAAGGATGTTCTGTGTTCACACAAGTCAGTTGTGTTCGTTGGTTGTATAGTCCTAGTTCTTATCAGAGAAGATGAGGGTCAGCAACTGAATCCTTACTTACAATCCAAATTATTAATTGGGGCCGAAACTTGTGTATTTTGTTTGTGATTTCAGGGACGGGATGATTTACGCCAAGACGCTGTCATGCAACAGGTCTTCGGTTTAGTTAACTCACTTTTGATGAAGGATCCAGAAACAAAGAAACGCAAGCTTCACGTCAGGAGATACAAGGTTAGTGGCTGTTCTTGTTCTTTCTAACGCAATACAAATTACAATAGTTATTCATCATACCCGTACTGTACTGCTGATGTGTAGTTAACGCGTACTGCAGGAGCACAAATCAGCATACGCACAGCTAAATGTAAATACGCACAAAGCATATTGATCAAATCACTGTAGCAACCGATGACTGCTGTCAACAGTTGATTATCAAAACTAACATTAAAAGACAGCGATTGAATTACAGCGTGCATCGTACACTAGTGGAAAATTATTACACTTTAGTTTAGATTGCAGGCCCTTAGAAATTATTTTTCAAGCATTAAATTAAACTTTGTAGAATAATTTTCCTATAGTGTACTTTGTGGAGCTCTACTAATTGCTTAGAAAAGAGAAATGTAGAGCATTTTAAACACAAAGCCACAGATTCTCTGTGATATAATAAGGTAAGAACTTACATAGCGCCATTTAAAAAACCAAAGTAATTATCAGTGGCGCTTCATGTTATTGTTGGAATAAGTGCGTTTTGAGTGATTTTTTAAATAAAGCAATTGATGTTGATTTTTTAATGTGAAGTGGTAGTGCGTTCCAGAGTGTGGCTGCAGCACTAATGAATTTTTGCATTAACATTAGACTAAAATTTCAACATTTATCAATAAAGTGGTTTCCGGTGGTTCATGATACTTACTTTGCAGAAAAAATAAATAAATTTTCTGTATCTACTTAAATTTTTGTTTTGTGCACCTTAGTCCAACATTGTCAAAATGACAGTTTAACACAAATTTTCATTAAAAAATTGTACATTTTCGTTTGCAATAACTTTAATTTTGTTGGTCAATTTTCAAGAATCAAATTGTAGTTTATAGAAGCACTTAACAAGCTTGTGGTCAAAAGGAATCAGATGTAACAGACATTGGGAAGTACCCAAAATTAATAGAACAGTAACTAACACCATAAAACGTATGGCACGCATAGACTAATAATTGACGGCTGTACTCACAACTAGTATCAGATTGTCGATGCCACAGTAAAGATCAAAGGACTGTACGCACGCGCTATGTTCGAGAGCAGAGATGTGCGTCCTTTTGTTGAATTACCTTGGTTTAGATTGCAGGCCCTTAGGAATTTTTTTTCAAGCATTAAATTAAACTTTGTAGAATAATTTTCCTATAGTGTACTTTGTGGAGCTCTACTAATTGCTTAGTAGAAAAGAGAAATGTAGAGCATTTTAAACACAAAGCCACAGATTCTCTGTGATATATATATACAGTATCTGATTTGACCATATATGGGCATGATGTTGTCATATTACACACATTTATGAGCTAATCACAGGTATTTGTCGTGTAAACATAATAGAGTGGACAGACATCTATCCAAGGCTCATTTTACTTAAGTTATATTTTATTCTTATAACTATTATAATGCTGTATTCACATTCTATTCAGGTTATACCAGTCTATTTCGTGAATACTTACCTGGATAACCGACTAATTGCCATTGTTGCCAAAACGGAACACCCCTTCGAAAAAAAAAATGGAACAGTCCGACCCAAGGCGCCACGTGCGAACCGTCTCCCTAACAAACGTCCTCATTCCCTTTTCGACGTTGTTCGAAGTTGGATACATTCTAGCCTTTGAAATTACTAGCAGTCTTTTCAAGCAATTCTGTTCTTATATTTGCCTTGGATTTATTTTCAACTTGACAAGATATCCTTTTGTTTTTATTGTAGTCTCGATCGGCATGTCCGCTCGCAAGTCTTTGTGCTCGGCGTGTGGGGCCCTAAACCGAGTGTTAAGTTCGACCGGCACTCGGAGTGCCCGTTGTGTCGCTTGTGTAGCAAGGCTGAGCCTTGCGAGATTTGTGCGCGCTGGCCCCCGACTAAGTTTGCGGCGGCTCTAGATTGGACAGCTCAGGCTGCCACTCGATCTCAGGGTTCGCTGCCGGCTGCGTCGGGGGTTGTAGCGGCGCCGGATGACTCGCCTCCACCGCTGGAGGATTCGTCGGCTTCGCGTTCGGCGGGTCCTTCCCCTCCCCTCCCCTCCCCTCATTTTACTTAAGTTATATTTTATTCTTATAACTCTTATAATGCTGTATTCACATTCTATTCAGGTTATACCATTATCCCAGAGGAGTGGGTTATTGGAGTGGTGTGAAGGAACCATGCCAATAGGACAGTACCTGATAGGTCCTGCTAGTAAGTCTGGGATCGGAGCCCACAAACGATATAGACCAAATGACTGGACCGCTTTAGATTGCCGCAAGAAAATGACCGTAAGTACCTTCAATCGATTTTCAAACACACTGATTTGGCATGAACAAAGTAAGGCTGTGGATGTCACTGTATCAACTGTTTGCTTTTAAGCAAATTGTGCATACGTACATGCTTTTTTGTTGTTGAGAGTATTTTACATATATTTTAAGATTACCGGGGCACTATGCATTTTGAGCTTCACCCTTTAAAATTGTTTTATTTCATCCCTCAAGATGATGGTTAGAGGGGAGTAATGGCTATGGCAAACTAGCCAACTAGGGGCCTACAAAAAAAAAGGACGATGTTGATGTTACTGCACCTAACTATTTGTAACTAATTGACAATACACATATTTAAAGTTATTTATGTTTTCTTTTTTCACTCTAGAATGCGCATGATAAAGCACAGAAGTATGCAACATTTCAACAGGTTTTGAACAACTTTAAGCCAGTCTTTAGATACTTCTTTATGGAGAAGTTTGTGGATCCCAACTGTTGGTTTGAAAGGCGTTTGGCCTACACAAGAAGCGTGGCTACCTCATCCATAGGTAACACTCATTCACTTCACCATGCATGCTTTGTTCATAATAATAATAATAGTTGGATTTGTAGAGCGCATCATGCGAAAAAGCCTCTATGCGCTTGGTGATTGAGCTCTTTGATTTGGACATTTTGAGAAAAAAGAAAGTTGAAGTTATTTTATGAAACTAAAAAAACCTACTCCTTAAACTAAGGCATGGTTGGCCGTTGGCTCCGAGGAGTTCATCCGCCCTTTGTTCAGCTGTTTTTTTTCGTGCTGCTATGTGTCCATCCACCCTCCTATTGGTGGCCGCTAAAGACCACCAGATGGGGTTGTCGGAATTAGTTGGAATTAGTTGTGTTATATTTAATCTACAAATCTACTTCATCAAGCATGTATAGTCTTTTTTTGTAAGTAACACGTTATATTTTCATTGCGGATTTTTTGGGCTCAGTACGGACTCTAAACGTATGCATTTTCTTTTATGGGGATTTTATAAGTCCGCAATGACGAGATAACGTGTTAAGTACTGGTCTCCCTCCAGTTAAAGACCACTTTTGGGACTGGGGTTTTCATTTTCTTCAGCAGCTTTTGTCTTTAATTAGAATGTTAGATAAAAGACATTTGTTAATTTGTTGTATGTTATTATAGTTTGTGTGCCATTCTTTGTATTACAATTTTTCCCACTATGTCTTGCTATGTTGTTTGTATGTTTGAATATTGTATGCTGTTATTCTGTGTGTTTTTCATTTCATTTCTCTAGTTGGTTACGTAGTTGGACTGGGTGATCGCCATGTTCAAAATATATTGATTGACTGCAACACCGCTGAACTGGTCCACATCGATCTAGGCAAGTTAATCAGTTTATATACTTGGTTTAAGCACAAGAATGTTTTACTAAATTGTCATTAAAAATGTAGAGAGATTATTATTATATGTTACATTTTTTTATGTTATATAATGTGGTATGTTTATGTAATATATTCTTGTATTGAATGGATTTTTTAGGTGTTGCATTTCAACAAGGCAAGATTCTTTATTGTGATATGGTATGTTTAATCAATATATTCTATAATATTTTATATTGAATGGATTTTTTAGGTGTTGCATTTGAACAAGGCAAGATTCTTTATACTCCTGAAACAGTTCCCTTTCGTCTTACAAGAGACATAGAGGATGGAATGGGCGTTGCTAGTGTTGAGGGAGTATTCCGGCGGTAAGCAAGGCACTTATTATTATTATTATTATTATTATTATTATTATTATTATTAATATTTTTATTATTATTATTTATTATTAATATTATTATTTTTTATTATATTATTATTATTATTTATTATATTATTAATATCAATCATGTTATTTTAGGTATAATTTTTATTATTGTTGTTTTTATCAATAATGACATTTTTTTTTACAACACTGCTCATTTCAGATGTTGTGAGAAGACGATGGAGGTAATGCACAACTCCCAGGAGGCTTTGCTAACTATTCTAGAGGTGAATTATTCTCTCAATTAATTTTAAGCATAGTTCCCAATAATAAACAATGATAGTAAAACAGTATTATCAATAATATTGATAATACTGTAATCCTAGTAATAATTGTTTTAAAAAAATATTACTTTTGTACTTTGCTTACATTTTTTTTCTAAAAAAGGTATAAAAAGTCGCTTAAATGTCTTGTCTAAAAGAAAATTAAAAATTATATATAACAATGTGATACTACAGTGTCACATTGTATGATTTTCAATTAATCAATTAATGCATTTATTTTGTTACTAGGTGCTCCTCTATGACCCCCTCTATGACTGGACAATATCTCCACTGAAAGCTCGCAACATCCAACAAACTGACCCAGATGCATCAATGTTGAGCACAACATTGGATTTTGATGGCAATGGGGGCAGTAGCACAGAGGAGGTGAACAAAATGGCCAAGAGGGCGCTGTTGAGACTGCGCCAAAAACTGCAAGGGGAGGAAGACGGCGTAGTGCTTAGTGTTAGTGGTCAAGTTAGTAGGTTGATACAAGAGGCAAGAGATTTTAAAAACTTGTCCGGATTGTTTCCTGGTTGGCAGCCATGGCTTTAAAGTTTTTATCAGACGAATATGTAGCTCTTTTAATGAATAAATTATTCATTAGATTTTGGTGCTCTGCTTACGTCTTTTATGTACAGACAGCATTTACGTAATTGAAATAATCATACATCTCGACTGCATGTTTTCATTTATTTATCTTGGTTTTAAGCTGTTTTGAAGTTTTGTAAGTGATGAATATTCATTTTTTTTAATGAATATTTATGTCATAATGGCGTGCTGCTTAAATTGTTAGAATGTATATGCTTGTAATTAACAAAAACTATTACTTATTTTTATAATATAAAAAATAGATTTTTTAGTGCTCATCATTTGCTTCAGAAAAAGGAAAAAAACAGTAGATTTTACAGTATAAAGTAACCTGAAAACATTATTAAATTAACTGAACTATAAAATATCATAGAAACTAATCAAAGAAACAAGTAAGGATTGCTTTGGATGTTGAGGAAAATGCTGTATTGTGGATAACTCGTGAAAGCTTCTTTTCTCTTGCGTGGTTCTTCGCTACACATCAACTTCAAAGTTGGTAGGCCAGTCTGCGACCTCCTCTGAGACGCCATACAGTTGCTGCATACCTCCTGATGGTTTGGACAAAAATTAACAAGGTGGGAAACTAATTGAATGGCTTCAACACAATTACACGCTGGAAAGGTGTACATGCGCCGTCGGAACAGTGCTCGGCTCTTCTACCACATCTCATGAGCAGTGCGAGATGGTGCCAGTTTCGTCTTGCTAGGTTGGCACCGGATGGTAAATGAAAGGCAAGGCTGGAGATCAATATATTTCTAATGCATTGCCAGAACTTCTCCAAGACTCCTTCCACAGCAAGAGAGTTAATTTACTCTAGAAGGAAACAAAACCCACCTACAGTAGTATATGTAACATTAAACTCTTCCAATTATAAAAGCTTTTATCACCATTTTTTTAATTTCATATCATTTAAATTCTAAGACTATAGATTGTGCATGACTAGAAATACTCCCCAAGGTGTAAAGAAAGTACTTTTATTTGCAACATATTTTTTCAGGATACATACACATAAGGAAAGCAAAATGTACAATACTAAACTGACAATGAATACCATACTGTTTTAATGTTTGTTTATCTGCTCTTGATAAAAGTAACATTCTTTTTAAAGTTGAGTTTTATAGCTAATACTTGCTATAATTTGAATAAATCCAAGTTGAGTATATTCAAAGTCGATCGTACTGTACTATTATTTGTATTATTAAACGTTTTTCCGACAGTACTTCTCTGCCCGGGACCATATTCAGGGGCAGATACGGAGATGTCCAAAAGTTGAGGGGGGGGGGGGCGGAAATGGGGCCGATCGAGACAAAACTACCTTAGGAAACTTCTGTTTTCTAGATTCCCGAAAATAACCTCCGAGGAGGTCGATTTTATTTATTTATTTTTTTTTTACTTTTCACAAGGAGGACCCCGGGGCTGGCCTGATATTTATTAGCTACCTTATTGATCCCTATCTGTTTGCTAGTGTCAGCACCTCTTTAAAAAACTGTAGAGAATGATGTGTATGTAATTGTGCAAGTTCAATACACCATTCCTATACACTTATAGTCATTTTGTGGTTGTTTTTCTATTTGTGTGTGTATTTGTTTTCTGTGGTGACTTTTTTGGCCCCAGGACAAGGATGAAGGGTACGCTAATTGGCCAAAAATAAAATTTTATTTTTATTCAAAATTGTCATTATTGGCGGGCAGTGGGCTAAACAAGGTATAAAAAAGTCTTGCGAATGCCTGAAAGGTACCATTTACTACTGCTGTCGCTCCTGGTGTCTTGTTGCTGCTACTACTACTACTACACGTTTGTAGTAGCGGTTTGGCACAGGTTGGCTTCTAAACTTCGAGGGGTTCAATCCCCTCACTGTCAACTTCACTTTTGTCTTTTGGCAAGGCACTTTACTACGGTCTCCACTCAGCAGTACAAGTGAGTACCTGATAGGTTCAAACACAAAGAGCGCTGATTAGATTACTAGCTACAGTATTATGGATTTGATCCAATGAGCAGGGGTAGTAATGTGATGCACTTGTGGGAACATATTTATTGTTTCACTTGTATGAAAACTTCCACTAGGAAATAAAACACTAAGCCAGTATTGCACTTTGTTAATTTTATTATTTTTGACGTCCCCATTAAATATTCTTTATAATCTCAGTATTTATAGTCACTAAATAAATATCTAATCTAAAATGTGCAAAAATAAAAAAACAAACCACAACATACATTTATATATTGAATATTCATTGATAATACAATTTATAGACTTAAAAAATGCTATAAAACGAGTTACAAAAACTACCCTCACCTTAAGACACTACTTCCCATCAGGCCAATAAAAAAATAAAATTTGTGTTGGCCATGTTTTGGAAAAATTCAAAAAATGGGTAGGTTGATAGGAAAAGTTACACAAAAATACAACAAAAACCATTTTAAAATCTATATTGAAGAGCAAAACTGTCGCATGGCCTATTCCAGCCTTTTTAGCTCAATTTCGAACATATTGTGTCAGTCGGGCGTGGCCAACACAATTTTTTTTATTTGGCCTCATTATAACCACTACAAACATTGGTGGTGCTAGGATGGGGAGTCACATTATGAGAATCTTTACAGACCCAAGTTAAGGGGTGGGGTGGAATAGATTGTTAACATATTTCAGAATGTTGTACAGTATTTGCATAGGCTTATCTATTATCAGGAAAAATAGAAACTGATTGTATTTATGACAGGTTTCATAGACTTCTCAAGTTACAGTAGCAAAATACATTTCAGTAACCAAATCTTTATATTTCCGTAAAAAAAATACAAAATTTCCGTAGCACCTAATAATTTGTCTTGAGTGCAAAATATGGGTTAAACTAAATTACAGGTACAGGATAATAACAGCTGTGGAATTTCAAACAAGCATGACAGGATGAAGATTTCCACACGAAAAATTATCAGTAATCTGACAAGTATGAGTTGTTACAAATGTTAAACCAAAGATCCTAATGGAAAATTGATTTGTTCTGGATCTATTTATTAATGTGTCTAGGCCTAAGATAAATTTCCGCAGTATAGTATTTGAGAAGTCTGGTCTGCTTTTTCAAACTTTACATGGAGGTGATTACAGATCATGTTGTACAGTACAGTATTGATTTTTACCTAGGAACTGATATCACTGTAAGTTCGGCCAATGGTGTGTACTCTCATAAGTGACCACTTTACATCGGTCTGAGGGTGGTCACTTATGGGAGATTCAACTTCACTATTGGAAAAAAACAAAAAATATATAGCATCCAAAACTGATATAACTAAAACTATTATAATTATTATTCAATTGCACATAACCTACTTAAATTTAAGCAATGGAGTCTTAAAAAGATCTGAAGGCATGCAATCCCTGATTATCCTAGACATCCATACAGACTATGTTTGCCATATAAATTGAAAAATATTAGATCAAGGTAAAATCACCACATTGTCGAATGAAACACAGCCTGTTTTAAAAAACGAAGGGGCTACCAACAGTAGTTTAGCAGAGTCTAGTACGAGTTAGACTAAATAGCCCCTTGGTTTCAAGATACTAGCTCTTAAAGCGACTGATTTTACATCAATTTTATTCAATTATAATTTTTTTAAGGTTTGCGTAATAATTTTTTCCTGCTTGACCCTTATGAGCATCATCAATGTTTGAGTTCCTCAGAATCATTCTCCTCCACCTCACTGTCGTCGTAGTTCTGTAACACGGCTTTGTGTTGGTTGTTCCACAGTTGTGTGTATAAACTATCAGGGTTGCTAAGCAACGTATAGTGGCTTCCTCGTTCTTTTACAAAACCATTTTCAAGGACAAAGATCTCGTCACAGTCAACGACTGTTGAGAGACGATGTGCTATGAACAGTGATGTTTTGCCTTGGGTTACTGTTTGCATCGAGTCTAAGATATTCTGAAAGAAAAAAATTGGTATAGTAATAATCATACTGTAATTGTATCAAAAAATTTATTAAGATACATAGTGTTTACACTGTTAAATAGCCAACAGGACAGTAACTGAATGCACATAAAAATATTGTTTTGTAATCTGTTATGCACTACACAATATACTTTAACATTTCTGGTTAAAAACATAACTTTAGAGGAAATACTGTACCTATTCTTGAATTTTGTTCACGTGATGGCGTGATGTTGCTTACCTGTTCTGTAATTGAGTCGAGAGACGAAGTAGCTTCATCGTATAAAATAATTGGAGGGTTCTTGAGTATAGTCCTAGCTATTGCAACACGCTGTTTTTCACCACCTGCAATACAACATTTTATAATAAATCGGATATGAAAATATTAGTTGCAAGTAAAATTTGTCATTGTACTTTTTCTGAATTGTTAACAGAAACATTTTCCCCATTCAGCAAAGCTGATTGATTTGAAACATTGATGGAGGTATGGGAGTGGAGAGCTGATCACTTATATTCTTTAGTTTGGGCCCCACATTAAAAGATTTGCATACAGTGGGCCCCCTTTTCTCAGAAATATTCTGTAATTATCTTTTGTAAAGGCACCCTGAATGCTCTATACCTAGTTTCTTAGGCTTTGAAAGTGGGGAGCTGATCGTAATAAAATCATTTTAAATTCATTGTTTTCTATAACCATGAAACAAACTAGCTGTAATATACCCTCCCTACCTGATAGTTTGAGCCCTCGTTCTCCAACTTGTGTATTGTAACCGTCAGGCATTCTTAAGATACTGCGGTGAATATCAGCCATCTTGGCTGCTGTGTACACTTCTTCTGCTGTTGCTTCCATATTGCCGTAATTTATATTATAAAAAATTGAATTATGGAATAGTACTGAATCCTGGAATGAAACAAAATAAATTAGCAACAATCTAATCATTATATACAGTATGTTGAAACTGATGTGAAGTTTATTTAATAGGAATGATGTTTTTGCCCATTTTGTACATTCACAAATACTTGCGAAAACATTTTTTTTTTTCAACACACTTGGATTCAGTTTCAATTATAATTTTGTAAATTGACATTCCCCACGAGTATTATTAATTCTGCATTACATTTTATGATTACAAATACTAGATATTACAGCTAAGATTATTTACAGAAAACAATATTTCATAATAAAAATGCATTAATGTGGTGTTTACCTGGGGAACCACACCTATGCTGGACCGTAGACTCTCTAAGCTTACATCACGTATATTCTGACCATTTACTAAAACTCTACCTGACTTTGGGTCGAAAAATCTGTATAACAAACGAACTATAGTAGATTTCCTGTTAAAAGAAAAATAAATTATTTAAATGATAAGCTTCATTAATAAAATACATAATTTTTTAGAGTGCAATTTTGGGGCAAGTGGTGCTATTATACTCCTTTAATTTGGTCAAAGTATGGTGTGGCTGAGGTGGGTCCCCTCTCAGGAACCTTAGACCCTCTTCTCTAAAACCACTAGTGACACCACTGCTAAAATGTTATGTATCCATAAAATATTTTATTGTCAATACTATAGTTTTAAATTATCATAAATATTATTATATCATAATTATCAAGCATCTCACCCTGATCCACTACCACCAACAATAGCAACCTTCTTGCCTGCTGGAACATGCAATGAGATGCTATTAAATATAGGTTGACCATTCACGTACTCAAAGCACACATCTTCAAATGTTATGGAAGCTTCTTGTGGGCTTATCGCCAATGCGGGGGCTAACACCTTATCCTGAAAGAAAAAACATTGAAAATGTAGCTACTATACACTATATCAGGCCTTAATTATAAAATATAATGCATATAAATTTATTTTTATTATGAAAATAACAATAACATGTTACCTAGCCATAAAAATCTGTTGTTTTTTTCAGTCATTAATGATTGATAGTAGGAATATAACATTTACCTTAACATTTGGTTCTAAGTTGAGAATGTTAAACATTGTCTTCATATCGATAAGTGATTGACGAATTTCTCGGTACACAGTGCCAAGGAAGTTGAGAGGCAAGGAAAGCTGGAACAGTAAACCATTGACCATCACTAGGTCACCTATCGTCATGTTTCCTGAAAGTTGGAAAATAGGTTGTAAATAAATCAACAGAGATCACAAGTTGAAGAAAGCCACTTGATGGAGATATAGTTAAATGAATCGAGCATTCTTAAAAACAACCAAATTCATTTTGTTATACTTGGTAATACCATCACCAGTTGACTTTTTGGAAATTTTCATTAATATGTGGAGTATAATAGGTTAATCTCCAGAGGAGATTATTGCTTGTTTGTGGGAGTGTCTGAGGCCATCCTGATTTCTAGGAGACTTGGGTCTTGCATGCAACATTTATTTTGTGCTCTTTTTAATGTTTTCATTTTATAACTATTACCATTATTTTGTCAAACTTTCTGATTTGGCTGTAACTTTGACTTACCTGCAATAATGCCCTTACATGCCATCACCATGATCAGAGCTAAGGACGAGCTGAACACTATATTCTGTCCAAAGTTGAGAATTGCTAGGCTAGTTGATGTCTTTAAAGACGCTTTCTCAAACTGAGCAAGTGATTCATCATATCGCTTGGCTTCGTGTATCTCGTTGTTGAAGTATTTAACAGTTTCATAATTGATGAGCGAGTCAATAGCCAAGTTCCCTGCCTCGTTATCCGCTTTATTCATTTGAACTCTGAACTTTGTCCTCCAAGAGGTGATACTGAGGGTAAATGCAGCATAGGCTGCGATGGTTGACAGTGTTACTAATGCAAACTGCGGCCCACATCTCCAATACTGAAACAAAACCAACAAGCGTATCCTCATTATATTTATGCTATTGAATCTTTGTGTACATGCATAAAAATGGAAATCTAACTCTCTCTAATGGGGTCCAGTGTCTGTGTACAAAAGTCAGACAGATAAATTCTACTGCAGCCTCAATAAAATACACCTTTTAGAAGAAACACAATACCTTGATCAAAGGTGGATTATTCTCAATTATAAACTTACCAAAATACTTGCAACTAAACTAACTTCAAATATGGTAGGAACAATGTTGAATACTAAAGCAGTGAGTATAAAGTTGATGCCTCTGTAAAGAAAGAAAATATAAGAAGAAGCATTTATAAATTAAAGACATCATAAATACAAAACAAATCAAAATTAACTTTGTGCAACAGCAACTTTCAAAAAATAGGTATATTTTATACATACCTACTCCCTCTGTCAATAGCTTTAGAGAGGGCGCCTGTCTGACGACTCAAATGGAAACTGAGATCTAGGGAATGCAGATGAAGGAACACATTTTTGGCTACACGTCTTATCGAGTTCTGAGCTACCTTAGCGAATATTGCATTTCTGAGTTCATTGAAAAGGGAGGCACCTGCTCTTGCTGCTCCATCTATACAAGGCAGGGAAAAAAAATGGAGATGATTAGTTGACAGGGTATTCATATAAACCACAGGAAAGGGTTATAAAGGATTGAAATCATGAAGCAAAACATGTTTCAATGGGATGCTTCCAAATATTTCAGATATGGAAAAAGTTATGGAAGAACTGAAGTGCATTGAATTGTGCAGTTGAGATGTGAACAGTTGAGGGTTTGAATCTAAATGTGTTCTGATGGGAGGACCCGACTGGTATATTTGGTATAGGGATCGTGGTTGTTTGTTTTTCATCGGACCTTACTCTATTAAGAGTTCTTTAATAATATGCAAGAGCCTCAATCCAGTTACATCAATGGTTAAGTTTTAGCTGAAACTCTAACAATATGAAGTTAAATCAAGAACTCATTCTCAAGGATCTTCACAGTTGAGCGCACACACAGTGACTACCAATAGTTTAACCAACTGCAGTAATCTACAGCACCCTCGCTAGATTTATGAGTATTATTAATGTATAAACAAGGTAATGATTCAAGTTGACAAAGAATAACATTGACAATGATGATAGATAAACGATTGTGATAATTATCGCTGAAACTTACATCCTATAAGCAAAGATGTTGCAACTGTTATTGCAGTGCCTCCAGCAGCTGCCACCACTCCCACTGCTTGACCGGTGTTTAAAACGTCCACTGCATACTTGAACATGAACGGCACAGAGACACTAGCCATCTAAATCAAATAAACAATATTAATAAGAATCATCATTAAAATTATTAATGTAACAATTATTACAAATATTAAATATATAAAAACAAATTCTCGTAGTGTGGGCAGTATAATAGAGGCAGTAGAGCTAAAAAAGATCTATTAATCAATCAACTATTAATCAATCAGCCGAGTGTTTCTAGAGCTCCTCATGAGGGCAGTATAATAGAGGCAGTAGAGTTAAAAAGATCTATTAATCAATCAGCCTCATGAGGGCAGTATAATAAAGGCAGTAGAGCTAAAAAAATTGCACTTTCGCAATGGCAAATTATTCAGCAAAAAATAATGCTCAACGACAGTGAAACCGCATAAAGGGACACCTTCAGACCATAAAGAGCGCAACTTTCTGTTGCGGTGTCTGTAGTGCTAAAAGGTGTATTCTCTTGATTTGTGTCCAAAAAAGAGTCTCCGTAATAGGGGTGTCCCAACGGAGGACTCCGACTGTATTTCAAAATGATCTCATATCACTTCATTTTTTCAACTAACCTTCCCCTCCCCACTTCCACCTTCCCACTAGGCACCCATCAGGCAATATGCCACTGGCAGACTACCACTCTACTTGCTTACCTTTGAGCCAATGAGCAGTCCCACAGCAATCACAACTCTAGCTTTAATCGAGGTTGCATCTTTCGGCCAAATATATCTAGTCATGGCCTTGACAATCTGCCAACCATTCGATCCACCATTGTTACCATTTTGGGTTACATCACCAGGACCGTGTCCATGGAAACAGCTTCTGGTCAGGATAGAGCTCTGCCATATCTGCAGAAAACATCAATCTGATGCCATTGGTATTCAAGAAATGATGCATACAGTGACTCTAACACCAACAGTATTTTTGTTTTCCTTTACTGCACAAGAATCATTCATGTTTGTTCACACTAACAAGTTTTATGTGACATGTCTGTTCACATTATCACGCTTTATGTGACAATTTTGTGTAAATTGCCCATAAATGGGCATAATAATGTCATATCACAGCTGTTTTTAGGGGTTTTAGTAGCTTTAGTGTAATAAGATGGGCAGTCATATGGGGCTGGAGGAATGTGGTCATTAATTGGAGGTGGTCATTCTTTGGAGGGGTCTTTAATAGTGGGACACCTGTCCACACCTGCATAGTGTGGACAGTCTTGTCTTAATCACATTACACTTTTGTACATATCACACAAAATGGAAGTGCATTCATTACTAAATAATTTACATTAATATTGATGAATGCTACATATCAACAATGCTAGATAACCCAATTACTCAGTTGTCACATGAATGAAATCACCTGATGCTCTGTGGGATATATTATAACCATCCATAATTATGGTAGGCCTACAAAGTTCATGATTTAAAATAGTTGCTTTTTAGTTAGACATAGTTTGACAGATTTCTCTAGGGTTGTCAACATCAATACTATTCAACGTGTTAGGATCTTTTGACAAGGTAGGTAAGGGTCTTGATTCTAAAGCACTTTCTGAGAGATATATCCATTCTTCATTATTGCACAATTACCGGTGGCGTATGTAGAGCAGTTCTTGTTTTTGAAGCCTGACCGATATGCTTTAAGCAAAACAATCTGGATGAATTCTGAAAAGAAAATGTAGTATCATAATTCAGTGAATGGTAAAAATTAAACATGTTTATTTGCATTGGGTTTTTTAGTAGTTTAAATGTTATATTTACCAGACTTTGATGTTTATTATATGATAGTCATTGTTCTTTTCAATACATCTTACACTTTAATTAGTAATTTGTATCAGTGGTGGTGCCAGAGGGGGCTGGGGGTCTATAGCGCCCCCCCCCATCGGGGAAGCATAGCCCCGCCCCCCGTTGGGGAAGACGAGTAAATTTTGTCGGGGAATAAACAAATAAAAAAAATAATTTACTTTCATTAAACTATTTGTGTTAACTTTTCATCACAATAATAATAATAATAATAATAATAATAATAATAATAATAATAAGAATTAATAATGTTCAATGAGTTCAATGAGACTAATTAAAAATATTTTGTGTTCTGCTATGAAAAAATGCTCGTTGGGATAGCCTCATGATGCTTGGAATACATCGCAATAGGGGAAGCAACCTCGACCTTGACAGCGTGGTTGACAGATTTCATGCAAAAATTCCAAAATGTAGAATTTTACTTTCAAGAATGAGGATTTGAAAATAAATTAGATGGTTACATTGCATACTCTTTTGTTTCTTGTTTTATTCAAAATATTTTGGTTTTGGAAGCTGATTTCGACATTAGAAAACATAGCCTACATGAAGTCATATTATAGTAGCTCAATGCCTATCATATAAGTAATAAAAATTCGTCATAATTCATCAAATATCTATGGCTTGGCCCCCTGCACCCCCACCGGGGGCCCTAGGCAGCCCCCGGCCCCAGCCAAGTGAGACTCGATCCGCTTCACAAGCCCCCCCACCGGGGCCTTTAGCCCCTCCGTCGGGCAGTCCTGGTGCCATCACTGATTTGTATACATTTTAGATTTTACTACAAGTAGTTTTAAATGTTATATTAACCAGACTTTGATGCTTATTATAAGATAGTCATTGTTCTTTTTGATTCATTTTATACAAGTAATTTGTATACATTTTAGATATTTTACATCACAAGCATTTCAGTCTATTTGTGATTTGAATAAATTGGAATGGGAATTAATTTTATTTTAAATATTTTTTGTTCATAATAAATTAACAAAATTCTAATCTAGGCCTATGTTTATGTATCCATTTATTTAAAATTATTTAAAGTTAGGACTGGTATTGAAGAAATTGAGATTGAGGTTTAAAAGGAAATTTTAATTTGTCATCATTTGGTTTTAGGCCCAAGGCCAAAGATATGCCAAACAGCAAGCTAATTATTTCTGTTAGTGGCAAACACCTTCAAAAGACAAATATACACACAAATATCTACATAAACCCTTCTTAGGACCTTAGGATTGAAAGGCAAGCATCTATATAGTTTTTAAGTTTACTGTGTTTGCGCAGATAAACTTTAGAGCTATGCTTCAGGTTCTATACATTTTTTCTCTTTTTTTTTCCACCAATTGTAAATTGTATTTATGATGAGAACTGACATATTTATAAAAATGTATATAGGGCCCTATATACATTTTTTTTAATACATTTTCACGAATTGGTGTTCCAACTCTACCCATCATTATCCCACTCAGGGATTTGTAATTGGACTTACATTTTGATAGATGACCAATGGCTGATAGTAACTTCTCTGATAATGGACTATGTTTAGGATAATTTTGACCTAGTTTCTGCAGTATATTCATGCCCCTGTCAGTAGGTTTTTTTAAACCACCACAGCCACCAAGCTCTGACACACCACTACCTACACTGACTGTTTTCAACTGACTCCAATTCACAACACCCTTAGGCCACAAAATTTTGTTCTCCTGTGGGCGTTGGCCCATTTGAAGGATTATTCCACTTGACCTAGGCCTAATTCTACGTACTTCCAACAGGAAGGACCAGGCTCCACCCCGCTTTAACTTGACGATGACGAACATAAACCGAAATTGATGATAGGCCTGGCTAAGCCTAGCCCTGGGCCTAAGTAAGAGAACCAAAAATTGAATAATGCTACCTCAAAATTTGTTCTATACAACTTGACACCTCCTTCACAATATGGTAATTTAGAATACCTTCCGTAGAATTGAGAACTATGTTTTAGTATGTTTAATGAAGAGTTTATCTTCCGTGTTCTTAAAATACTAGCCATTATCAAAACACACACACGTATAACCAGGGTTGCCAGATAGTCGACAGGCTTCACGGCCAAACACACGCCATCTCACGGCCAAATTCGGCCAAACTTTTTTTCGATATCGGCCAAAATTCGGCCAGATTTTAATCCGATTAGAAGACAACAGTGGGTACATTCATTTGAAACACTACAAAAATTATACGAAACTCAGCGGTCATTTGTTAGAAATTGAAGAAATTCAAATGGTATACACAGAAAAATGTTAAAAATAAATAGCCTATGTTCTTTAGTTGCTGGCATGCAGGCCAATTCAGGGGCAAATCCAGAGATGTCCGAAAGGGGAGGACCGGGGGCGAAAGTGGGTCCGATCGAGATGACACCATCTTAGAAGAAATTTGTCTTTTTTAGACGCCCGAAAATAACCTGATGCGTTTGGGCAATCAATTTTTTTTTACCACCCCTCCTCCTAAAATCCACCTCTGCTATTTAAAATCACAATATTAAAATTGATCTAAATTTGATTTAAATGTATTAAATATATGTACATTGTAGTCGATCTATAGCAAAAATTTTAAGGGCCTGTTATTGGCAAATCCGTGGCTCTCCTTAAATAGAATGAATTAAGTTACATAGCTAGGAAACACAAACTGACGTTAAAACAAACCTATGGAAACTTTAATAAATACTTTTTATCTATAACTTTCGAAATTCGCCTCTGAATGTTATTGTCGCAGTACTTAAAGCAATAAATCAATGTTGCTATCAGAATTATTTTCTTCATTCTCACATGCAACCGCCTAACTCCAGAGTAACTTCGAAGAAGTCTCTGCAAAACTTGCTTGAAATTGGAGGTGCCATCGGACCCGAATGAGCATTGATATATGGCGCTCTACATTTTAAAGAACACTACGGCACCTAGGGCTACACAATTCAAGTGGGCAATAATAAATTACTTAAAAGTACAGTATTTAATTTATATTCAAAAGAAATTCAAAAGAGATAGAACCTCCACTAGTATACTAAGATACATATACAAAGACACACAATATATGGTACAAACTTGCAATGGACTGTCTTCATAAAAGCTTAAACGAGGATAAACTTCATAAACAATATATTTCATCCGAACAATTTAAATTATTAAATGTAACTTATCTTATATAAATAAACTCTCTTACGTCAAGTCGACTGAATCGGGGAACATATATTAAGTGTTTATTGCAAGTACAAACAAGTACAAGATTAGAATTAAATATAGAATTTAAGCTAACAAAAACAAAATATCCAAAACAAGTCTACGTTTCTACGTTATATTAGGCCTATATTGAAAAAAAAATGTAAACTTTTCAAAAATTCGGCCAAATATAGGTTGGCCGTGACTTTTCAAATGCTACGGCCAGGCAAATTTTTATACGGCCAGATTTGAGGAATCCGGCCGTCAAAAAGGCCAAATCTCAACCCTGCGTATAAGATCCGATCAGGGTTGCCAGATAGTGTAGTCGACATTCTTCAATTCACGGCCAAACACACGCCAACTCACGGCCAAATTCGGCCAAACTTTTTTTCGGGACATTTTTTTATCGGTCAAAATTCGGCCAGATTTTAATCCCATTTGAAGACAACAGTGGGTACATAATATTCATTTAAAATACAAAAATTGCACAAAAATCAGCGGTCATTTGTTATGAAATTGAAGAAATTAAAATGATATACACAGAACAAAGTTAATATTTCACTCTTTTTGTTCTTATAATAAACTTATCACCATAAATTAAATATCCAGTTACATCATGATAATAAATAATGTTCTTTAATTAGTTGCTAGCATGTAGTTTGCCTAATTAAAATCACATTATTAAGATTGATCTAAATTTGATTTTTAAAATGTAGTCTATTAAATAAAGTACATTGTATTCGATCAATTTATAGCAATAGTTTTAAGGGCCTGTTTTCGAATCTTCTTAGGCCTAGGCCTATATCAAATCCATGGCTAGGCCTAATTAGATTGAAATTTACATTTATTAGGTAATACAAACCTATGAAAATTTTAATAAATACTTTTTATCTAAACTTTCTAAATTCGCTTCTGAATGCTATTGTTGCAGTACAACAATAAATCAGAAATCATCTTTTTTCATGATTCTCATAGTTATACAACCTAAGTAGGCCTACCCTCCAGAGTAACTTCGAAGAAGTGCTGCGACACTTGCTTGAAATTGGCGGTGCCATCGAACCCGAATGATCTCGAGCATTTATATGGTGCTGTACATAAAGAACAATGCAGCGTCTATACAATTCAAGTGGGCAATAATAAATTAATTAAAGTATTTAATTTATTTTATTTTATTCTCAACCAAAAGAGATAGAAACCTCCACTAGGTTGAACAATACAAAGAAACACAATATGGTACAAACTTGCATTAAACTGTCTTCATAAAGCTTTAACGAGGATAAACCTCATAAAAATATATATATTTCATCCAAACAGTTTAAATTATTAAAGGTAATTGCTAATCTTAAATAAATTCTCTTACGTCAACTCGCCCAAAGGCGAGTACGACTATGAACGTTCAATGTAAACAAAGGTACACGATTAGAATTTTAAGCTTTTGTACAAAAACAACATGTCCAACACAAGTCTACGTTATATTAGGCCTATATTGAAAAAAAAATGTAAACCCTGGATCCGATCCTAGGTCAGGTAATTCTTTCTCATTCTTATTACACTTACCTACATTTAAAAAATGAGTAGTTGAGCACACGTACTCTTTTTTTCATGAATCGATGAACTCCAAAGGAAACGGGGGGGGGGGGGTTCGGGAGTTCTCCCTGGAAAATTTTGATTCCTAGATGGCGGGAAATGAGCTTTCCCGACTTCTGAGGTGTCTTTTAATGACTTTTAAGTTCTTCAAAATTCAAGATTTTCCCCTCTTGAAAACGGTCAGATAAATTTTTCTCATTCTTATTACAGTAAAATAGGCCTATTATGTGTGTACCGGTATTAATACATACAGAAAAAAAATGAGTAGTTGCATATCGTATACTTTTTTCCATGAATCGATGAGCACCCATCCTCCCCCCCCCCCCCAAAAAAAAGGGGTCGGGATCCTCCCCGGGAAAATGTTGATTCCTAGATGGCGGGACTCGAGCTTTACCGGCTTCTAATTTTCCCATTGTACCAGAAACAATTTCAGCTCACGGGTCCTGAAAAGGAAAGTCTATAATTTTTTTAATATATATTATTTATTTATTTATTGTTAATTTATAAATTTTTTCCCCAAGGGGAGAGGGGTCAGGGCCCTGACCCCCCTCAGATCCGCCAGTGGATGCCAAACATCAAAATATTGTGACATTAAAGATGTACCATCAGTCAAAATGACAGACAATTGCTTGCATTTAAAATAAAAGGTTTAAATTCAAGATAATATATTATTAGTTCCCACAGGAAACCGATTGAAAAAAGGTAGTTTTCACCGATTTACAGACATCTTATATATCTACAAAGTCCTTAAAATGATTTTGGGATCGATGCAAATGAATATTTAATTGCCCGAAAATTGAAAAAGGGATATTTTTTTCTCATTCATATGAATTTGATAACTTACAGTATATATATGAATTTAGCAATTCAAATGTGAAATTGAAAATTTTTATTTTTTTTTTCTACCTCATGACTAATGACACGCTTTAAAAGATAGATATCGCCCTCTATTGAGCTGTGTGGAAAAACATCGATAGTAAAAACACTTCCTTCTGCCTTGTCATTTCGATTCCGATCAGATGGCGGAAGTTCAGACTACGGGAAAGTAATGTCTTACTACCGTCTGCAGACGATTGATGAACAGGAAGATATGAATAATGATTTTCAGGGTTATCTACACAATGACGTTGAGACCACCCGCGTTGAGACGATAACTCGTCGCCGTCCCAGAAGATGCGGGAGAAAATGCCGAGTTTGCTGCCGTTTCTTCTTTTCATTTACCACCGTTGTTATTTTAAGCATAGCTACTTGGATTTTAATTGCTGTTTACAAGGTAAAAAGCCAATAGAAACTATAAAAATAAAACTGATTAAATTTTATGTTCCATTTTCAATTCAATTTAATCACTTTAATGTTAAAATCGTTCACATGAAGCGAATAATCGCATGTTGATAACGGTAGTCACTTCTTAGCGGTCACAACAGCGAGGTTTTATGAATATGTATAATTTTACCACAAACCGTTCGACACGCTCGATCGCTTTATTACTTAATGCATAATTTTTAAGGTAACTAGGCTGCCTCGAAACTTTAAAATGTTGTATCATTTATCGTTCTGTTACATGCGAGACTTCCCCAGAAATTATGAAGATGAATTCCGAGGACGATGGCGATTTTATTCCAACAAAACGTAAATACAGGGCAGACAGTATGGAATAATAATATTATTATCGTAATGGTGAACTCTGAAATTGATGTGGCACACGCAATTTCAGCGTATGAGAAGGAAACAATTTCCAAATGTGTCATTGAACACATTGACAAAGCATATACCAAATAAGGTAGGGACTAATTTATAATATCTTCTTATATATATATATACATATATAT